CGGGCGCAGGCGCAGACCCGCCCGGCTCCGGAAAGGCACCGGGGCTCGCGCACCCTACCGGCTGCGCGCGGCACTGCTGCGGATGAGACGGGCGGGCTTTCGCCCCGCCCTTTGAAACCATTGCTTACCTGCTGCGTAAGGTTGGGCAACAAGGGAGCAGACGGGGGAGTCCTTGCGGTGCTTGCGCAGGCAGTGAGCGGCGGGAGGCTCCGCACGCATGTGCGGAGATACGTTGCTTTTCCTACTTGCTGGGTTCCGCGTTTACGCTGCCTAACCCTGCCTTTAGAATGCTGTTTCCCACCCCTAACCCTGCTCATTGCCTTTCGTATGATCCTTCTCGCCGCAAAGGCCCAGCTCAGTGTCTCAAAGACACCCAGGAGCACCTCTTTGAAGGTTCTCGCCTTCCTCCAGTAAGCAGCCTGCCTGTTTCCCGTGGGGCCTGTCTGGACCGGTGCTAGGCTGATCTTGTGGACTTGGAACTCGCGCAGAGAACTCACCTAGTGTTGGGCTGCCTTTTGCTGTATAAACATGAGTATTGACTAGTTTCCAGAGCAAAGTACGAAAGTCTATTAACTATTCTTCCTGACTCTTACTGGGATATACAGCTTTCTCTAGGATAGCGGTACTTTCTCAGTGTGGACTGGGGGCAGCAACTGCATGGGAACATGGTGGGAATGCAGATTATCAGGCCTGCACCTTGGGCCCACTGAATCACAGTCTCCCGAGATGAAACGGTCCAGGTGATTCTGAAGCAGGCTAAGGTTTGAGAATCACTGCTCTAGAAGATACACACAGAGTACTGGTTCCTGGAATGGAAACAACATACCTAGCAGATTGTACTTCACAGAGAAAAAGATGGAGGCCTTGCTGGTAGCCGTGGCCGTAACTGACTTTTTAAACTGTCAGAGCCCTGCGCAAACTCACATACTTCTCTCTTTCTGCTGAAGGCATCCAGAATATACCTTTCAGGAGCTTTGATCTGAACCTCCTTTATCTACCTAGAAGTAGAGCCTCCCACAATAATTCAGTTGTTTCAGATCCTCTACCCAGGAGTTTAGCAACCAGGAAAGATTGACTCCTATCACTGGAAAGGAGAATTTGGCTCAGGGATCAGAAATCACCTAAGCAGACATTCTCAGGAAACTATCATATCTCTATTGTCCTCAGAGCTCATTTATCTTTTCCTAAAAGTCATTTGTTTTACCATAGGTGCCCTTCTCCCCATTCCCTCCCCTTTGATGGAAGAAATTTTCACATACTGAGGTATGGGGAAATCATTCTGGCTTATATATGATTTGGTTTGAACTTTATGTCACCTAAAACAGTCTGTCTTATCACCTGTCAGCCATACATTGTACATCTACTTTAACCATAAAAAGAATGTTTCCCACTATCCAGTTATATAAAGGGTTAAGTGACAACCCCCTGTTGTGGCTCACAGTGGGAGCCCTGAAAGGAATTCAGGGAAAAAACAAACAGGATGAAGCATTCTGTGTTTTGAATAAACTGGCCCCTAGACAGTTAAGATGTATACTTCAGGAAGAATTTCAGTCACCCCCACATTCTTGCATCTTTCCATACACAGAAAGTGACTACAATAATTAATTTGAAATATCTGTTCTTTGTGATTAACAGTAATTTCTTTTTTTTTTTTACCAAAATGTATGCTTGACTACATGTATTTCCTAGACAAAAAACTTATATACATACTGGTTCCTCCTCTGTGTCTTCAGAGCTGTCCTCGCAGAGGTACTGAGAGACTGTTTGTCAGGATATAATCCTCAGTTTGGCTTGAATAAAACTCTCTTCTATTCTTATTATAGATTGTTTACTGATTGTTTGGGACGACACATTATTAAGATGGTATGTAAGCCCCACATTTGAACCACCTCGTCGAGTCATATTTTTCTGTGAACGCCCGTGTAAGTATGTGGATAAAAATGTCTTTTCTCTTCCTAATCTATCATTTGGCAGTTTAATTTGCAGGCCCCCAAGAAATGAACCTAAGAGGGTAGAGAGAAAGTTTTCCTCTCCAACACAGCATTAATCTTACCTCCTTACTCCCATGGCAGGAGCAGAGGCATCTTCCTAACCCAAAGCCACTACCTTCACCTGTGTTCTGGATCCATCTGCCTCCTTACTCCTCCTCCCATTCCTTAGGGAGTTTGCCCAATTTATTATTTTTTAAGTAAACTTTTGGTTTGAATATATTAGATTTGCACAAAAGTGGCAAAGATTGTACAGATTGTTTCGGTGTATCCCTTATCCAGTTTCCACTGCTGATAGCGTCTTACATTACCGTTATACATTTGCTACACCTAAGGAACCCACATTAACCAAACTCCACAGTTTGGCGTTATTCTCTTGGTTAGACTGGGGTTACAAGTTTGGGGAAGAAGACCATAGAAGTGAATGCCCTTCTCATCACATCATATCAAAGTTTCATATTATCAACATGACTTACCACTGTTGATGTTAACATTGATCATCTGGCCAAGGTGGTGTTTTTCAGGTTTT